AATCACTTTTCTGCCTACTTTTATAACCTTGTTGGAAACATTACCATTAAGAAAACTTAATATTTTAAAAAATGTGTTTTTTATATTAACTTTGAGGTATATGTTTATTGCATAGAATTATGGGAGGAATCGCCTGTAATATTTAAATCCTCATTTAAAACTAGTCAGAATGTTTTTGTTTTTTGCAGTTTTGACCAAAAGTGCACAGAATTGGGAGCCCTAAAGTTAAGTAAGAAAAGTAACTCTCAACTCTTACAGAGATTCACATGCCTGATCCTCTATTGAAAGCCGTGCTGTAAATAATAGTCTTAATCTGTATTTTTAAAAATTCATTAACACTGATTCTAAAGCCTCCAATTGTTATAAAAGGATTTAAATCTCAGATTGTTCTAAAATACAGGTTGAGTGGAATCTTGAAATTCTTAATGAATCATTTAGTTCTAGATTGGTTTAGGTTCATCTTAAATCTAAATCAGCAATGCTGAGGGACAGAATCAGTTAGGAGAGAAATCATTACACTCAAGCTAGACTACAGTACCTATCTCAAGCATACCAATAAGCACAAAACTGGTTTATTTATCAAATAATCAATAAGAGTGACTTGATTAGGGAGAAGTCCCCTGACATCTGTGAATTTATCACAGAGACTGCCAATTAGCATTATTAGAGTGTGATAATAAATGAGTTTGACCAGGTATTTTCCTCTTAGATTCAGGTAGTTATCCCTGGAATAATGACCTATAAGGAAGAAATCTCAGTTCTTTTTAACGTAGGCCCTGACAGACACCGTCATGAATCTTGACATTCAGATCTTCTCAAAGCCCTACAGTATGTAATGTTTCCAGACATCTGATGTGCATGTATGAATTAACAGGCGGAGATTAAGAAGAGTCAGAATCTAAAAAATTTCTATTATATATACCAGATGGCTCAGAACATACTTTACAATTATTGGCCAAAATGAGTCTTGTCTTTTTCTCTTCTAGAAGACTGAATAAGAAAAGGACCAATGGGGCAGCACCAGTGGCTCAAAAGGGTAGGGCGCTGATCCCATATGCTGGAGGTGGCGGGTTCAAACCCAGCCCCGGCCAAAAACAGCAAATAATAATAATAATAATAATAATAATAATAAATTTAAAAAAAGAAGAAAAGGACCAATCTTAAAATGGAAGGAGTTTTCTGAAAATCAGTTATTTTTAAAACAGATAAAAATAAAATCAAAGAGGAAAGTTCAGTGGTTAGATCTTCAGCTTTAGAACAAATGGGCCTGAATTTACCACTAAAACTTTATATAAGGTATTTAACTTTTCGGAACCTCAAGTTTTTTTTTTACCTCTCAAATAGAGATAATAACTCCAAGACCTGCTTTCTAGGTGTTACTCTGAATGCTGAGATAATTCACTATGCCTGGCACATAGAAAATGTTCAGTGAAGGCTCCAGTTACTGTTCCCATTCATTTTCCTATCTTGCTATATTAAAGGGTGGTTCTTGTTTGTTTTTTTAACTTATATTTGCTTATGGTAATTTAAGACTGTGGTCTTATAGATGGAATGTACTTATTCCATGGAGATTGAATAAGCCTAATTGAGTTCCCTTTCAAAGACCAGGTTCTTTAGAGGCAAAGGTATACACTGAAAACCTTTAGAGCTCTATCCACATACTGAATATCTAATAGTGAAATTAGATCTTCTTTCAAAATGCTGCATTTTTGCAAATAACCTGCTTCTCAAAGCAAAACTACCTCTCTTCCGCCCATAGTTTTACAAAGGTCATGTTTTTAACTTTAGATCTCTAACACAGTGACTTGAGTATAACAGAAAGTCCTTTCTATCAGCAAGTGATATGTCCTGGCAGTCCCCAGAAGCTGCACAGTAGTGTTCAGTTGGATTTCTTTTTTTCTCTTCTCCTTTTTTTCATCAGCATCCAATCCCATGGATATGGGGTAGGCCACACTGAATCCTGGGGCCCCAAAAATGTGAGTCATTGTCTTATCCAGCAGCATCCAAAGACTACCACCAAAAAACACTTGAATTTACAAATATAAAGTCAAAGCTTAACTAGTGCAATTGCAAATGGCAATTCTTTGAAAAATAGCAAATTCTAAATGAAAAACATAATTGAGTACTTGTAGATTTTTAGTTCCTACACCATATATTGGATGTATTGTAGAAGGGCTTAGCTAGGGAGGTGGTATCCATCTTTTTACCTCACTTTTCAAAAGGGGGAAGACAGCCCTTTGTTTCTGGGAAGTTAAGATATAGCACCCTCTAGCTACACCCTCTGTCTGTACCCTCTAGCCCCTTTTACTGCCTGTTTCTTTCAGGGTTCCACCTCTTAATTTATACTCCTAAAGGATTGTAAAGATGAGTAGCGTTTGATAGAGCTTGATCACTTCACCACAAAAGTGAGTTTTAATCATTTTCAGTTTCAAACGTCTTAGACAGTCACTAAAGTATTTTCCTTCCCCCTCACCCCCCTCCTTGATTTGCAGATTCAGTATATCTGCTGTTTTGTCCAGGTGAATGTGTGCCATCTTAAAATTAAAAGTATAATGTTTACTTACCTCTAGACTGTCTTCTACCATTTGAGGAACTAAGAATGGAACATAAAGCCCCTCGCATGGGTAGTTTTTAGGAAACATTGGAAACAGCAGGGGAAATGGAATATCAGGAAACAGTAATGACTGATTTCAAGCAGTGAGAAACTGATGATATGTGAGGGAGCAGGAAGAGATAAAAATCTAGAGAAGCACTGGGCTGCAAGACTGTGGGAATGGCAAACACATGCAAAACAATACTTTTGAAGACTACTTTTCATTCAGCAAACACGTTTTGAGTACTAATACTATGCGTTAGCTTCTGTGCTGGGCATTACAAATATACGACAAAGAATCAAAATGTAGTCACTGGCCCCAAAGACTTTTGTGTAGAAGGAGAGGCCAAGATACAAATAGATAATTGTAATAGGTGTTTTACAGTTTAACACTCTTACTTTTCCTTGGTAATCCCACTTATCTTCAAGGTTTTACCTTGGGCATGGCTTCTCCCAGAAGACCTTCCTTATACTGTATGCATTATATTAGTGGGGAGTAATTAACTGATAGGAGTTTTGAGAGGAAAAATAGGAAGTTGTAAGTAAAGCATCATGATTTCTTTTTCCCAAAGATTGGGACAGGTTGAGCATATTATATCATTTTATCATGTACTCAGTTAACAAATCTTTATTTAGTCCCTGAAGATTCCAGGCTATTTCTTGCCTTTATAACTGTACACAGTTATTTTCGCCATTTAGATAGAATGCCCAGGCATTGTGCTTAGGCATTGATGATACAGAAGTGAACTCAGAAATGGTGAGGCTGCCCATATGGACCTATGGGGATCTATAATTGAACAGAAGACACCAAACAAAAGCATTATGAGTGTGTTGAGTGTTATTATAGGAAGTGCAGAAACATTGAGTGGGTGTATTAATCTACTCTGGGATTAAGGCAGGCTACTCGGGAAATAATATTCAAAATGAGACATAACAAAGAGGTAAAGAACTGGGGGAGAGCACGAGAGTTTAGATAGGAAACAAATGCAGAAAAGAATCTGCCTCCTAGATGAGAGGTCAAAGACTGAAAATAAAAGATTATTCTGAAACACGAATGAAAGAAAATGGGAATCCAGGTTCTGTGTGGGCAACATTGGCCTTTATTTCCACCCGGTGCTGGTGAGCTGAGCTGAGAAGGAAGGCAGCACATGGGTAATGGTGGACGGGGGGTTTAAAGGTCGGAGGACGGGGGTTGTACATTCCTTTTCCTGGGTGGGACATCTGTCGGAAGGGGGGGGGGGTGGTCCATTCACCTTTCCTAGGTGGGACTTCTGTGGAACGGTGGGGGTGGGGCACATATTTGGGCGGGTCCCTTCTTTTGACTCTGACTATAGAGGTAGTCTATACCTCTGACGTAAAATGGAGTGACCTTTTGCAAAGAGCTATAGAAACTGAAAAAATACACTCTCTGTTTGAAGGTATCAGAGGAGATGAATTAGTAAAACACTATCAAACCATGACTCAGGAAAGGAGAAAATCCAAAGAAATGAGACGGACATTTGGGGCTGCTTTTGCCCTACAGGCCAGTGCAGAGGAAGCAGCTAATAGACCTCAGTAGCCCTTTTGACAGCCTTAAGTGGGTAGAAATACAAAAATGGGACCTTTATAATTCCCCAGTGCTTTTCATTAGGACCCTAAAAGACTACACCCCAAAATAAGGTAAAAACAGTGGTAAATGAACCTTTACATGGACTGCAGCCTGGCTTCAAGTCATCTGGGTAGCCCAGGAAATTCTCAAGCCATGATATTGAATTAAGATCTTGGTTTGCTGGTACCCCCGCATTCCTGGCAGAAACAAGGAAATAATCTTTCTAGAAATTATTACAGGTCTCAAATGATTTCCATAGCAGTTTTTCAAATAACAGTGTTTGGAACATAATCAAGGGTAATCAGTCACAGAAGGATGAGAAACATGAGTTAAGAACCAGTGAAAAGAGTAGGCAACAAAAACCAAGATCCGGGTTCTCCACGAATTAGTTACAGCAGACATGGATTTTTAAATGACAACACTAAGTTCAGGGAGAAAAGAAATGGCAATTGTTAAGAAATCTTAATAACTAGAGATATTAAAAAAACAGCAGATTTGAAAAAGAACCAAACATTCTAAAACCGAATATAAATATAAGTGTAGCAGCAGTGTAGAAAGGATCAGTGAACTGAATATTAGTTTAGAAGAAAATGTCCAGAAAGAAGCGTGGAGAAAGGCGAGGATGAGTCAGAGGGAAGGGCGGGTGATGGAGAAGATACAGGAGTTTAATGAGAGTCCCAAGGGAAAGGTGGATGAGAATTGCAAACTGTATTTAAGGAGGTGACAGCTGAGAATTTTTCAAATCAGATGAAAGACAGTAAGCTACAATTTAAGAAGCACGAGATAAATTGAATGCTATAATTTTAAAATTCCATCCAGTTCCAGGTTCATTCATTCAAGAGACATGAAAGCATATACTCACAGAAATGCTTCAGAGAAGCAATTCAGATGCTCGTCACCTGAACAATGATAAACAAAACGTGGTTTATTTATACAGTGCAATACTATTCAGCCGCAAAAAGAATGAAGTACTGACGCATGATACGATGTGGAGAAACCTTAAGTACATCATGTACGCTAAGTGAAAAGCCAAATCACAACCAGCCACGTAATGTATAATTTCATTCATATGAAATGGTCAGAAGCAGTAAATCTTTAGATGTAGAATAGATGAGAGGAGAATGAATACAGAATTTCTTCTGGGAGAGGCAAAAATGTTTTCTAGTTAGATTATAGTGACGGTTGTACAACTCTATTAAACATTGAATTGTACACCTTATTTTAAATGAGTAAATGTGTATGCTATGTGAATTATGTCGTAGATTTACATAGGGAAAATAAATTCATACTTAGACATGCTCTAATAAAACTAAACTATGGCGACATCATCATTGTGCTGAAAGAAAATAAATAACTACTAATTCTGAAATACTCCCTAACTAAAAATACAGCCAGTCCCCTGGTTATGGATAAGGTAGGCTCTGTAGGTTTCTTCTGTAAGTTGGAACAAGTATATTTACCTATTACCTATGAGACCCTCCATTTCTAAGTGCAAGTCATATGTCAGTCATATATTTATCACTATATCTGAATCAAGGCTGGGCACAGTGGCTCATGTCTGTAATCCTAGCACTTTGATAGGCGTAGGCAGAAGGATTGCTTGAGGCCTGGAGTTGAAGACCAGCCTGAGCAAGAGCAAGACCTTCCATCTCTACTAAAAATAAAAAAATAGTTAGCTGGCTCATGCCTGAAGTCCCAGCCACTAGTAGGCAGAGGCAGGAGGCTTGCTTGAGCCCAGGATTTTGAGGTTGCAGCTCTCATTACACCACTGCACTCTAACCCCAAGCAACAGAACGAGACCATGCCCTCCCCCCCAAAAAAATGAGAGATATTTTCAGATGAACAACAACAAAAAAAATTTTTGTCCCAAGAAACCTATACTAAAGGAGATACTGAAGGATACCTAGGCAATCAGAAAATGATTCCTGATGGAAGGCCAGAAAATCTGGAAGAGATAAAGATTAGCAAATGTGTAAGTGAGTACATACCTGTAGTTGTACTCCTAAGTATATACCCAACAGCCATGAGTACATTTATTCTCCGAAACTATTGAAATGCCTGTCTGTGGCACACTGGATAAATTGTACAGTCACATATACCTTACAGCCATGAAAATGAACAGTCTCCAGCATCAAGCAATAATGTGGGTGAATCTTACTAACTGTATTAAGGAAAATCAGCCAGACACGGAAGGCTACACGAGATATGATTCTATTTATTGAAGAATAACATTAGGGGAAACTTTGCTCTTGGAAATTAGCATAAGGGATATAGTTTGGGGGCTGAGGTGCCCAGGGTTGGCTAGATGCACAGGGGGATGTGAGGGTGCTGAGATGCTGTTTATTAATCTGAGTGTGGGTTTCACAGATGTATTCAGTTTGAAAACTCACCACGGGGCGGCGCCTGTGGCTCAAAGGTGTAAGGCGCCGTCCCCATATACCAGAGGTGGTGGGTTCAAATCTGGCTCCAGCCGAAAACTGCAAAAAAAAAAAAAAAAAAAAAACTCACCACAATGTACACTTACATGTATTTTTTTTGCACATATATTATATATTAGAAAGTTTGTCAAGGGTGATAATTTCAGTAAATTTCAATGAATATTGATTGTATAAAATCTTTATTGCTCGGAAGACATGTAGGGCAATTAAGGCTTATGAAATGTCAAAGTATGTCAAAAATAAAGTACTTGCATTTTAGGCTCTGAAGAGATGATCCTTTTTGCTTTCTAAAATCACTTTAATAAGCAATTTTGAAATTACTAGGGAACAATCTAAATTTAGAAGGTGGTTTAGTTATTAATCTGGGAATGTTCTAAGTATATCAAAAATGAATTACATGGAGTTTTTCAGTAAAAGTGTCCTTTTTGTTAGACCTATTATCCGTTTTACTACTTGCCACATTGCTTGGTCTGTTTTGAAACAACACTCAATCTGGCAGTATCCCTGGAGAGGTATATGGCACTTAATGTGTATTGTTCCCTAGAGGAATCAGGAAAGAAAGAAATGATAGATTTTCTCTTGGGATGAAATGGAAAATTAATTGAAAAAGGAAGAATCCATAATTTAAGGCATAGTTATTTATTGGGAGGAAGTTGTAATAAAATTTGTGTATTTGTTGATTTTGTCTTTGTAAACACCAATTATCCCTAGCAGAGTTCATGCCCTGTGTGCAGCAGCTTGGGTGGCTTATGTTTGAATTTTCATCTTGTTGGTTTATATAAGATAATGTAAGCTATAAAAATCATTTTTATGTATTATTTGCTTACTCTTTCTTTGCTTGCTTCAGACTCAGCTTAACCTGGCTTTGAGTTCCATATTAAGATTTTGAAAGAAATACTTCAAGAAAAAATGAATTGTGTTTTTGTTATAGCGATTCTGCTGCATGGATTACAAGCACTCTATCTCCATGCTTGGATAAACTCCATCAAAAGCACATTATCCTCCTACTTCTGTAGCCAGCTGCCTAATTGTATCTGCTGTAACCACACGCTGTTGGAACATGATACCAATGGAGAACAGAAATGATAAATTACTCCCTGCAGGTGATAATGATAATGATAATTTTTAATTTTCTTCTTTCTCAGGTCTAGCCTGTTCTTATTTCATTGGCTGCCACCCTATTACACATACACACGATGTGTCCTCCTTAAAAAAAAAAATGCTCATCACACCAAAATACATGAGAAAGTAATTCTTTTTTATTCCAAAATAATGTTCTTCAAATGAGCACGTTTTAAAAGAACTGCATTTACCTTTATACATAGGGAATAAACAAACAAAATGTGGCTTAAAACAGATAAATGGTTTCATTTACAAAAGCTGCAAGTTATTGTCTTCCTTTTGGTGACATTTATAAAGAAGGGGTAACAGCTCATTCTGAAACTGTATTCTAAGGCTTAGGAACATTTAAAGTGCACAGTAAAGCTACACACTTGTATCATTTTCCTTTGTGCCTCAAAGGAAACATGGAAGGTTGTCACCAAATTTCAAGAGTGATCAAACTAGCCCCCAAACTCACTGCATGCGTTTATTTTCCTTTCATTCTGTTTTCTTCTAGCCACATTCTTTTTGTTTTATTCTTATTGATTACCACCATTCTCCCTTCTCTCAGTCTAAGGGGCTTTATAACTAAAATTTTCCCAACTGTGACGTCAATCCAGTGAAATCTCACTTGTGACCTTGCCTTTGCAGATTAACCCAGCTCCTACAGATACTTGATTTTAATGCTTTTTTCCCTCAGCTATTCTCATTGCTCCTGACAAGATGTATATGTGGAAGAAAGGAGAAATTTATTCTGTGGTCAGCCTTCTCACCTATCTGATCTTTTTCAAGCAGATGTCAAGTAGAGCTCCAGTTATTTATTGCTGTTGCCTATTAGTCATCATTCTCAGTTTCCCTTAGTGGTTGTTTATTCTTATATTTGAATGACTGCCACAGAGAGAATGTAAGTTCATTGAAATTACCATTTAAAAACCCTAGAGATAGGCTGTCAAAGGGATGGTAACGAGACAGTGAAACTAGAATTGAAAAGAGGGGCATGTTTATGCTTCCTAGTCACAGTAGTTCTGTCCCCAAATCAACTGACATATTTGGCTATGTCATTATTCCTTATTTTTAAATGACATTTCAGAAATAAAAACTAGTAGTTCAGTTAGTTTATATGACTGTGTGTTTCCAGTTTAAGTTTTTTTTTTTTCTTTTTCCTAATCAATTATTAAGAATCATTGTGGGGCGGTGCCTGTGGCTCAGTGAGTAGGGCGCCGGCCCCATATACCAAGGGTGGAGGGTTCAAACCCGGCCCTGGCCAAACTGCAACAAAAAAAATAGCTGGGTATTGTGGTGGGCGCCTGTAGTCCCAGCTACTCTGGAGGCTGAGACAAGAGAATCACCTAAGCCCAAGAGCTGGAGCTTGCTGTGAGCTGTGACGCAACAGCCCTCTACTGAGGGTGACAAAATGAGACTATGGCTCTAAAAAAAAAGAATCAGTGTGGTGGGGAGGCGCCTGTAGCTCAACCAGCAGGGTGTCAGCCACATACACCAAGGGTGGCAGGTTAGAACCCAGCCCAAGCCTGTTAAACAACAATGACAACTGCAACGAAAAAATAGCCGGGTGTTATGGCAGGTTCCTATAGTCCCAGCTACTGGGAGGCTGAGGCAAGAGAATAGCTTAAGCCCAAGAGTTGGAGGTTGCTGTGAGCTGTGATGCAATAGCACTCTACCCAGGGCAATTGCTTGAGACTCTGTCTCAAAAAAAAAAAAAAGAAAAAAAGAATCAGTGTGGTGTACCTATAATCCCAGGTACTCTGGAGGCTGGGGTGGGAGGAGCCTAGCAGTTCCAAGTTCAGGCTGAGCAACATAATGAGATTCTTTATATAAAAATAAAATCAAAAAGAATCACACTGGAAAGAAGAAGGGGCAAAAAAAAAAAAAAAAACCTCTGTCTTTTTTTTTGAGGCAGTCTCACTATGTTGCCCTCAGAAGAATGCTGTGACATCACAGCTCACAGCAACCTCAAACTCTCGGGCGTAAGCAATTCTCTTGCCTCAACCTCTGGAGTAGCTGGGACTACAGGCACCCACCACACGCCAGGCTATTTTTTGTTGCATTTGTCATTGTTGTTCAGCAGGCCCAAGCTGGGCTACAGTCCTCCAGCTTCAGTGTTTGTGGCCGGCACCCTACTCACTGAGCTATGGGCGCCACCAAAGCCCTGTCTCTTTAAGGGACACTTAGATCTTGCTTACTTGAAGTCAGATACCTGTTTTAAAACCAGAAATTCTCCTTGTTTTTTTAGAGCAAGATCCACTTTCAGTTATGTGAATGCTGTCTGATGGGTAGATTACCACACAATTTTTAAGCCCAGGTGAATTCTTCCTAACTTCACGTGGCTTGCTTCCTACTTAGTGTGTGCCTTGGAGCTGGTTTACCGTTACTCTAAGCCAAACGTTGTTAGGAAACTAACTCTGCTTGAGGAGTCAAAAATACAATGATGCATTTCAAAGGGAACTGTAAAATAGATGCAGATTTCACATTTTTCTTTTTCATAGATCCTCTTCAAATGCTCCTAACAAAAATTAACTATTAACTTTCACTTTTGTTTTTCTTTGTTATTTTGTCTTGAAGTATATTAACTTTTTTTTTTTCAGTTACTCAAAACTGTCCAGTATTTCTTCACCAGTATTATGTAGGGACTAGAGTTTAA